CATAAGGAAGCAGAAGCTGCACTCCCTAAGGAACATCCCCTTTTTATGCTGGACATATAGCACCCACGGATTCTTGCAGTGTTTCAGAGCCAAAGCTGGCTATCTGCCTGAACTGTCACATTCACTTTCAGAAGCTGGTAAAGCAGCTTTGAAACTCAATACATATAATTAGAGCAACAGAATAAGTAAACCCAAAAAGCTTTGAACAGTAAAGGTGGAAAGCAAGTGGAAACAGCAGTCTGCTGTGCAAGTTGGCACATGTCTTAGGCGGAATTCTGATGTCAGTGAAGTTGTGTGAGAGTAGCCAAGGATGGGATCCATGAAAGTTTACACACTGGGGTAACACAACATTGCAAATAGACAAAGAACTGGTTACCAAGCACCCATCTGCAAGGCAGGACCAAAGTGCTATGGCAGAAACTCAGGGAACTACAGCCAGGATAACATGAATTCCACCACTTCCTCAAGGAATCACAATTCTTTAAGGTAGAGGAAAGACAGAGGAGGAGGAAGGCAGCTAATGTAGGTAATGTAGCTAAGGCAAAAATGGCTGTTTCTGTTTTGTCATCCTCTCTGAGATATCCTGATGCACGCATATAATCTATCGTGGTGAAGCTGCGAGCTTTGATTCACTAAATAATCTGTTTTCATTGCAAAAAAACCCAGGAGAAACCTTTATACACAGAGACACTTAGCTGTTCACAGTGTCCCCTTCACCCAGATGAAACCCCCTGATCATTAGGGGCTATCAGCTCTGCACTGAGGAACTTGTAACGAGGCCATCTGCCATATCCCTCTTCTGCTGAGAAAAGATTACATCCCATTTTCCATACAGAAACACTCCTTTCAAAAAAGGATTTTTTTCCCAGAAAATAAACCACCAGAAATGTATCTCCCTTACAGAGCCCAGGGCAGCTGTCTTCAGGGGAAGCTACAGAGTCTTCTATTCTAATAGCATTTTTCTGAAAAGGCCAGTTAAGTAGCAGTGTTCTTTGCCTGGGAGGTTTGGCAGTGCCTTAGAAGTTGTTACAAGAAAATAACTATTCTGCATGTTTTTAAATAAGTCAAACATTACAGCCTAGATTGGAATAGGGCCTCTGCCATTTCACAGATGGAATTTTCAGAGCTTTAGATTCATCATTGTCTTCATTTTTAAAAAGCAGTGAAATACATATATCATAGAATCATAGAATCATAGAATCATAGAATAGATTGGGTTGGAAAAGACCTCCAAGATCATCAAGTCCAACCCCTGATCCAACTCCAATTACTATATCATGGCACTAAGGGCCACATCCAATCTCTGCTTAAAAACCTCCAGGGATGGTGAATCCACCACCTCTCTGGGTAGGCTGTTCCAAT